CCCCACACCCCGCGTCCCCGCTCCCCACCTCGCACCTTCACGCCCAACTGCCCCGCGGGCCTCCCGTCCTAGGAACCCTTTATGGGGAAGCGGTTCTGGCCCCCCACCCCCCGTTAAAGAGGGGGTGCATGTCTGCTTTAGCAGATATCCGCCCGCCTCGCCGTCTCCCGGGGTGCGCCCCGGTCGGTCGGGCTGAGAAGGCCAAGGGCAATTGCCGGTGGTCCTTTGGCCCCAGTCGCTCTTTGGTGATGAAAACCCAGTGCCTGTCCCTCCACCTCCGGGAAAGGGCTCTGGGGTTTGGGGGTTGGGAGTATAAAGGCTCCGCCGCCTGGAGCGCCCCAACAGAGCCCAGGGGTGTTTTCAAGGGATCTTCTCCTCTGGACCCAATTAGTTGGAGCCCCACCCAGGGAGCCTGGCCTTCGGTAAAGGGTTGAGTCAATAGTGACAAGGTTTTTGAAGGGAGACAGAGAAACATCAGTGATGAGTGGGAATCACTGACCGGCTGCCTCCTGCACGCCCCCCACTGGGGATCAAGCCCACAGCCCCAGCAGGTGCCCTGACCGGGAACTGAACCGGGACCTCCTGGTTCATAGGTCGGAGCTCAACCACTGAGCCATGCCAGCTGGGCTGCATTGCTTTTGCCTGAGCTCCAAGGGCCCGTCTTTAGCGTTTGTAACTTGTTTCCTGAGCCTGTGCAGCCCAGCCGGCTCACGTCTACTACCTTTGTAACTTTCTAAATAAATTTTATTATTTGAAAAAAAAAAGAACATATTGAATGATTCCGTTTCTATAAAGGTCAAAAACAGGCAAACTAATCTATGTTGTCCTAAGTCTAGATTGTAGTTACCCTTTGGGCTTCTGTGACTGGGAAGGGACATCAGGGCTTCTGAGGTGTGTTCTGGGATTAGGTCTGGGTGCTGCTAGCTTTGTAAAAACAATCATCCAATGAGACATTTTCCCATATATCTTTTACTTTAAGAAGTTTTTAAGAGAAGGAAAAAAAAAACCTGAAGTATTAATTTGTCCTAGTTACCCACTATTCAAGATATATTCGTTTTATTTTATTTTTTTGTTACCTTTTTTAAAAATTCTCACCTGGGGATATTTTCCCATTGATTTTCAGAGAGAGTGGAAGAGAGAGGGGAAGACAGAGAGAAACACTGATGTGGGAGAAACACATTGGTTGGTTGCCCTCTGCATGTGCTCTGACCAGGGCCCGAGGTGGGGGAGGAGCCTGCAACTGAGGCCTTGAGTAGAATAAAACCCAGGACCCTTCAGTCCACAGGCCGATGCTCTATTTATCCACTGAGTCAAACCGGCGAGGGCAACATAAACTCATTTTATAATCACCCTATATAATAAAGAGGTAATATGCAAATTAATCCTCATGCCCTCAGAAGATGGCTGCTACAACCAGACCGGCAGGGAGGTTAGTGAGGGACGACCAAATGACTGAACAAGCAGGCTGCATGAGGCAACCAAGCCGGCAGGGGGGTTAGTGAGGGATGACCAACAACCGAACAGCAGACTGCATGGGGCAACCAAGCCAGTGAGGTGGCCGTGAGGGAAGACCACGTCAGCAGGGGGGGCAGTTGGAGGCAACCAGGCCAGCATGCAGAGGCAGTGAGGGGCAACCAGGTCAGCAGGAGGAGGCAGTTAAGGGTGACCAAGCAGGCAGGCAGGTGAGCGATTAAGAGCCAGCTGTCCAGGATTGTAAAAGGGATGTCCGACTGCCAGTTTAGACCTGCTCCCGGGGA